CTATTTCGGCCATATCTTTTTATCTACAAAAGATTTTAATGTGATCCAAATTGGGTTGAAAGTAGACTTCAAGAAATTTCCAATGACATATTATATGCCTTATTTGGACTTCCGGATCAAAAGATGTGATAGAAACAAAAACGCGTGAAACTGATTATTAGTGTCTGACGCTAAGCATTAGAGCCTGGCGCTAAGGCTTGGCGCCTGGCGCTAAATGCCACCGTCGACGCTAATCAAGTTTTATGTGCGTTAGAACTCTGTTTTGGACTTTTTATCTTTTTGGCTGATTTTCTCTATAAATAGCTTTCTAAAAACCTCGTTTTCATTAACCAATTCTCATCAAGAATCTCTTGATTTCTCTCTCTCTCTCTCTTTTCTAAACTAGCCTTTTTACAAACAAAATTCCTCATACATTAGACTTAGATACACCTAGTTATATTCGAATTTGCCTTCACCCTAGACGTGAAAGGTTTAATTTCTGAGGGTTTGATCCCAAATCTTTATTTCAATTATTTAATTTAATTGTTGTTTATTATTTTCCTTAAAGTTACTAACGTGTGTATTTTGTTATTAGAAAGAGGTACGAGGCATCCAAGTAAGTTCTTTAATTGTTTTCATTGATATTATGATATAGAAATCATGTTTAGGATGTTATTTTGATTCCTAGTATCATGTTATGATGTTTTTCTTAGTATGATATTTAGGGTGATTTGCTTATATCAATCATGATTCCTGTGATGCCTTTTATGTTTTTTCTAATATTTATTCATGTTAGTATCATGTTAGGGTTAAAGCTTTGATTTTTATTGTTTAGTGACATGCTAGGATTTGTTATTAATCTTGTTAGTATCATGCCTAGGACCTTGCTATTATTATGCTTTAACATGATTCATGATTACTTTTATTATGTTAATTATTATTATAATTATTATTATGTTGCTTGATATTTATTTTTATTGCTTGATCACACCTTTTATGTATGTTAAAGGGAATTGGTACTTGTAATCACGATTAATAAGATAATTAATAATCTTGTTTAGGGTTAATATGATTATAATTCAAGTGATTGCCAATAATAGTTTATTTGTGCTTTAATATTCAACCAACATAGATAAACAGGTTTAGGGTTAATCCTATTGATTGCATGTTAGTCAGAAAGCGCACATGAATACGATTAGAATAAAGTAGAGACCTATTATTAGGGCAGGTTCAATCTCTTTTAGGTTGGATTTGTACCTTCATCCCCGAACCCTTATTTTGTTCTAGACCTTATGGAGTTGACGATCTCTTGGATCGTTAAGGGGTGTAACCTTCACCCTGTGAACGGTTTACAAGTTCCTAAAACTTGTTGGCGACTCTTTTGCTCTATCTTCTTCCCTTTTGGACGCCACCGTACTTTAGTGTATGATCACAGTGGGGTTCAAGCTAGGGGTTTAACGCTTTAAATATTCCCTACAATAGGCCTCTACTTTATTCTGATCGTATTCATGTGCGCTTTCTGACTAACATGCAATCAATAGGATTAAGCCTAAACTTGTTTAATCTATGTTGGTTGAATATTAATGCACAAATAAACTATTATTGGCGATCACTTGAAATATAATCACATTAACCTTAAACAAGATTATTAATTATGTTATTAAGCGTGATTACAAGTACAAATTCCTTTCAAACATGCATAAAAGGTGTGATCAAGCAATAACATTAAATATCAAGTAACATGATAAATAATCGATATCATGAATAATAATTATAATAATAATAATATCATCATAAATAAAATAATCATCATCAAAATAATAATAATAATCATAATTATCATAAATTATAACAATTATAACCATAATCATGTTCATGTTAATATTAAAGCATAATAATAGCAAGATCCTAGGCATGATACTAACAAGATTAATAACAAACCCTAGCATGTTACTAAGCATTAAAAATCAAAGCTTTAACCCTAACATGATACTAAGAACCATAAATATTAGGAAGAACATAGGAAGCATCATACTTTTAATCATACTTGATATTAAATTTACCCTAAACATGATACTAGGAATTTATTGTTGTCACCCTAAACATCAAATTAAGGAAAACATCCTAACATAATACTAGGAATCATAATAACAATCTAAGCATGATTTCTATATAATAACATCAATAAAAACCATTAAATTACTTACTTTGATGCTTCATACCTCTTTCTAATAACAAAATACACACGTTAGTAACTTCAAGGAAAATAATAAACAAACAATTAAATTAAATAATTGAAAAAGAGATTTGGGACCAAACCCTCAGAAATTAAACCTTTCACGTCTAGGGCGAAGGCAACTTCGAATATAGCTAGGTGTTTCTAGATCTTGCAAATGCGGAATTTTGTATATAAAAGCTAGGTTTAGAAAAGAGAAAGAGAAAGAATTTATGAATGAGAAGAGAATGAGAGAATTAATGATTGCGAATGAAAACTGATTGTAGGTGAATCTAGATGAATGTTGATGAGAATTGGTGAATCAAAACGGAGTTTTTAATACGTTATTTATAGAGAGAATCAGCCAAAAAGATAAAATTAACAAAGCAGAGTATTGGCGCACGAAAAACAGAGCTGGCGCCAGCACCAGCTAATTGGCGCCAGGCGCCAGCCTTAGCGTCAGGCGCCAGGCCTGGTTCCAGGCGCCAATGGCTAGCGTTGGACGCTAAACCTATTTTTGACGCTTTTTCTAAAATCAGATATATTTTGCCGTACAGGAGGATAAAATCGTATATTTTCCTCAAAAATGCTCTTTGATTTTAATTAAAACTCTGAAAAGTCGACAAAAGTCAATTTATCAATGCTAATTGAATTAGGAATGAAAAGAACCATCTAGAAGAATCTAGAAGACTAAAACCATCCCTAATTGCATTAGGAATGATAAACCATATTAGGCCCTCCCCTAGATCATTGGGTCGCACATAAGGCTCAAACCGGGCCCAGTTTAGTAAATTGGCCATAACTTCCTCAATATTCATCGGAATTGGGCTTATAATATATCGCTGGAAAGATCTTGTCAAGCCCCATCCAACTACACTATTATTGGACCCATATCATGGACCAACCAAACTGGATTGGCTGTTTTCTTAAAATAAGTTTTCAAAAACAGAGAGAAGAGAAAAGAAATTAAAACTAACCGCAACACTAGACTTTCCACACTTTCGCTTCATTCGATTATGATTCGACGCGAAAGGTACTCATCACTGGGTTTGGTTTTGGGGAGACACAAATGGGTGTCTACACTTGATTCCAATCTTTATACAATATAGACACCTTTGCACGGCTTATTTCACCAAGATGAGTTTTGTATGCTTTTGCCCACTTTCCAATGGGTCGACACAATTCATCCCATTCAAGCACTCTAGGAACCCCACGCATGGATTTCAGGCCCTTTGAAGGACCTCTTGGCTTCTTTTTCTTCTTCTGAGAGTCGGTTGTTTGTTGCTCTGATTGTGATTGATTGTGTGGCTCATCTTCCTCACATTGCGAAGACATGGAACGATTATGCATATCCTCATCCTCTATTATTACTTACCTGAAAAAAAAAGACATAAATAAATTAAGACATCGATTTGTATCATTTTTAAATTATAAACTTGTACACATAACAATAATAAGCAATTTATGCAATTAGTAACACATATTGGAAAAAAAATCACAGAATTCATACCTACTTCATTCTTCTCTTTTGCGACATAAAAGTCTTCATTATGATCTTTTCGTTTCAACGGTGTGTTAAAATCATCGACTATTGGAGGGATGCTCCAAACAGAAGGTGGTGACTCATTAAATTGCTCATCATATTCTTCCTCGTCCACCACATCTTCAATGCCAAGTATCCTTCTTTTACCTTCTAAAACAACTGACCACTTACAATCAACTGGGTCAGCCATGTAAAAATCTTGTTTTGCTTGTGAAGCTAATATAAATGGATCAGCTAGATGCCCTCGTCGACCAATATTTACAAGGGTCAAGTTCCCTTGTTCATCTTTTTTTACACCACGGCTACTATCAGCCTACTTACATCGAAATAGAGGAATCTTGAAATCAACATAATCCAGCTCTATTATTTCTTCTATGATTCCATAATAAAATTTCTTCTTATCCATAAGTGTTTTATCATGTGCACTAACATACTCAGATGACAAATCTACCACTTTAACACCACTGTTTTTCATTGTTGATTTGTCATCTTGTCGGCTAGTGTAAAAAGAATACCCATTGATGTCGTATCCCTCATATGACCTGACTTGACATTTAGCACCATATGCCAACCATCTCAATGTGTCAGATATATCGTTAGGTGTGGTGGATAGTTGGGACATCACTCGTTCCTTGAACCATGTAAAGAATGAACAATTATGCTCCTTTATCAGCTGAAGATCACTTTTGGAAGGATATTTATTTTTAAGAAAAAGCATGTGCTCGTCCAAGTAAGGATAAACCTCACTAAGATTTTGCAACACAAAAAGCTCAGCCTTATTTTTCATTTCAAAGCCCATGGATATCCTTTTCCTGCCAATAGTTCCTTGACCTCCAAGCCTCCCATCGTGTCGAGACTTTGGCAACCCAATTTTCTGTGAACGTGCAAGATATTGAGCAACCCATGCTGCCACTTCCTCAGCAACTGTTCGTTGTACAATAGTAGCTTCAGGTTGGCCGAATTCATGACTTTTCCCTTTAAGTCACCCATTTCTCGTTCAAAAGGATACATGTATCTCATACACACTGGTCCACAAATTTTAATTTCACGTACAAGATGAATAACCAAATGAGGCATCACGTCAAAAAAAGATGGGGGAAAATACATTTCAAATCGACACATTGTCTCAAGTACATCTGCTTGCAAGTCATCTAAAATACTTGGATTTATGACCTTGCTACAGATAGTGTTAAAAAAGACACATAATCTTGTAATCGTATACCTCACTTGAGGTGGAAAAATTCCTCGAATGGCAATTGGTAATCATTGTTGCATCAAGACATGACAATCATGAGATTTCATGCCACCCAATTTCAAGTCAGACATTGACACAAGTCTACGAAAATTAGAAGAAAATCCAGCCGGGACCTTTAAACCATGCAATGACTCACAGAAGCTAGTTTTTTCCTTTTTAGACAAGGTAAAGAAAGATAGGGGAAGATACCAGCGTTTTCCTCGAGATTCGGGTGCCAACTCTGAATGACCCATAGCAGCCATGTCTTTTCTTACTTTAACTCCATCCTTTTTCTTTCCTGGCATATTTAATAAAGTTCCCACAATGGCATCACAGACATTTTTCTCAATATGCATTACATCTAGACAATGTCTAACTTTTAAATGTCTCAAATATGGAAAAGACCATAGCTTAGACTTCTTCTTGTAACCCCCAGTTGATTTGCTTTTGTAAGGATTACCAAACTCATTCTCAATGTCTTTGACCCGCTGATAAACCTCACTTGCACGTAAAGGGCCACGAGCTTCTCTCAACTCCAATTTTCCATTAAAAGCATCCTTATTAAATCGAAAAGGGTGGTCTTCAGGAAGATGTCTGCGATTATCCATGTATACATGCTTACCACAATTGTCTAGGCGTAATGCCTCCAAATCATCTTCACAAATGGGGCAAGGAGTTGTTCCCTTCACAGTGTACCCCGACAAATTCCCATAAGCTGGGAAGTCATTTTTCGTACAAAAAATCATGGCACGTAAAGTGAAATTGGTTTTACTATATGCATCAAACATTTGGACACCTCCATTCCACAAAAATTTCAAATCTTCAATGAGAGGCGCTAGATACACATCAATGTCATTTCCAGGTTGTTTAGGCCCAGATATTAGAAGGGACAACATAATGTATCTAGACTTCATGCATAACCAAGGAGGCAAATTGTAGATAGTTAGAAGAACCGACCAAGTGCTATATTGGGTACTTAGTGTCCCAAATGGGTTCATTCCATCTGTACTAAGACCAAGCCTAAGATTTCGATCTTCTTCACCAAAGTCCTTGAACTTTCGATCAATGTTCCTCCATTGTGGGGAATTAGCAGGATGCCTCATTAACCCATCTTTCTTCCTCCCATCAGCATGCCACCTCAATAATCTTGCAGTTTTTTCATTCGAGAAGAGTCTCCTAAATCTCGGTATAATTAGAAGATACCATAATACCTTAGCCGAAGACCCTTTCTTACACAATTCACCAGTATCATTCATCTTGTAACGAGAAACTCCACACCTTGGACACTCATGCAAATCAGCATACTCATTTTGATACAACACACAGTCATTAGGACAAGCATGTATCTTCTCATACTTCATACCCAAGGGGCACATAAGTTTCTTGGCCTCATAGGTGAAGTTTGGAAGTTCATTCCCTTCGGGAAACATTTCTACTAAGGCTTCTAACAACTACGTAAAACCCTTGTCGGTCCAACAATTGCTCGCCTTTAAGTTGAATAACTTCATAATAGCACCAAATTTAGTGAACTTTGTACAACTAAGATATAACGGGGTTTCTGCAGCTCTCAAAATACTATCATATGTCTGGGGACACTCTGTGAAATGGTCTTCAACATCATGCATCATTTCATCTATCCTGTCCTTCTCCACTTCACTCTAACTTTCAACACCAATATCAGTTGTATCGATATCCTTACCTTGGTGTTCATTATCATCATCACAATGATTCTCATCTTCCCTTGGACAATAACTAGAACTTGCCTCAATATATATGCTCTCACCATGCCATGTCCACCTTGCGTAGTTTTCTTTAAACCCACGATGGATTAGATGATCTTTAATATCAACTATATCACGATATCCCCTCGAACTATTACAGTCACAACAAGGACAAAGAATAATCTTTTATTTATTCTATGTTTGGTGTTTTGAGGCAACAGTGCTAAACTCTTCAATTCCTCGTAAAAAACTTGTACAATTTCGTTTACCATACATCCAACTTCGATCCATTTTCAACCACTGAATAACAAAACTAATTTTAAGATAATGTGTATATTTTCTAACATATATAGCTCCTTAACCATAAACAAGAATATAAGGCATCAAACATTTTCATTCAAAGTTTATCTCATGTAAATGCATCGACATGAACCAATAAGGTCCTTATCACTCCAACCTAACCCATTCTTGAATGTCCTATCTCACTAATAACTACTTGTAAAGTTTGGTTCTAAAGAAAATCCGGCAGCATTTCCCTATAGTTCTCCAAGCACACAATGTAGATAACAAAATCAATCAACACATTTTCAGAGAACAAAACTGCAAACAATTTTCAGAAATTATAAATTGCATTTTAAACTGAATGAATGAGCCATTCCCTCAAAAAAATAAACTAAATGAATGAGCCATTCTCAGCAACCTCAAACCCATTTTTATAGAGGCATTCTAATAATCCCATTACAAACAAAAGTATTCAGGCTTCTATCGCAATTATAACTTCAATTTCATGAAATGTATTCGCATTACAGAAAAACAAATCAAAAATAAAAAAATCCTAGAACAGAACTTACGAATTGGACAGAAAAAAAAAAAAAGACAACTTCACTAAATACAAGCAATCTTACCTTAGGTGAAATAAACTTCACAAATTCAACAATGTCGTGCCTAAATGCAGTAATATGAGGGGGGCGAACACTGGTTGAACTGCTACACTAATCAAACTTCAATTATTGTTGTTGTAATTTGCTAGAACTTCCTCGGGTTTTTTGGGGGCGAAATTAATCGATTTTCCAGTCAAAATTTTCATCATTGCTCGAATATTAGGCCAGGATTTTTAATTTAATTTTTTGGGGTTTCTAGGGTTCAAATTCCTATGGTTTTGAGTAGATTTTTTGCTTGAAATGGGGGAATTTTGGTCGGAAATGCTCAATTTTTCTGGGGTTTATGGGTTCGGATTTCTTAGGGTTTTTTGTCCAAATTTTTGCTCGAAATTGCTCAATTTGCTGCCGATTATAGGTCTTCAACTTGACTGCGATTTTGGATGTTGAATTTGCTGAGGAATTGGTGTTTTTTTGGCCGAATTTGTTGGATTTAAGGGTCGAATTTGTGGGTGTTTTAGCTGTAGAAATTCACTGGAGTAGCAACTTGTTTTTTTCTCTTTTTTTAGTCGTGAAAGGTAGGCGTGCAAAAGCTAAGGTCAAAATTCTGAAATAACCTAAATGCAAAAGCTAGATTTGCGTCACTTTATTATTAAAATGCGACGCAAATAACATAAAACATAATGTTGTACATTTTTCATATGCGTCGCTCATTTATTAAAAGAGTGACGCAATTTATTCACTCACTCATTTGCGTCACTTGTCAATAAATGAGTGACGCAAATAAGATTATTATATACGTCGCTTCAATAAATAAGAGCGACGCAAATATTAAAAATCTGCAATACAATTGACTTTTGCGTCGCTTCTTGATAAATATGCGACGCAAATAACTTTTCAGGATGCTAAAATTAAACATTTTCTTCGTTCTTTCTAATGAGTGACGCAAATGTGGCGACGCAAATGTACGTTTTTCTACTAGTGATAAATCCTCAAGCAGAAGGAGAACGAAGGCTTCACTTTCTTCTTTAACAAATGGAGACAAACCTCAGCTAAGATGATTGAGGTGCCAAGTAAAAAAGAGTCTGTAAGGTTATTTATCAAAAACCTTCAAGAAAAATACTCTAAGCATCTCAAGTATCAGAATAATCTTTATACCTTCAAGGCCGTCTATGACATTGGAATCAATATTGAAGACGACCTGGCTAAGTTGAAAGCTGCCAACAATAACTTTAACAGTGGCTGGAAAGGCAAGAAGAACAACAATCCTTCTTCTTCCAAAACCACCCACTCAAACAATGTTAGCACTTTTAACCTAGGTGAAGTCCTTGCTATGAATAATCAAGGACAAAAGAAACCATTTAGGAGGAAATTTACTCCTATTGGCATGAGTTATGACACCGCATTTGACTGACTAGATGCAAAAGGTCTTATAACTCCTATTGGACCATTTGGGGACCCACCAGTCGAAAAGAGGTCGGCTAACTGGAACCCCAATGCACATTGCAAGTATCACCAAGGTACGGGCCATCTCACCGAGAACTATTGGAAGGTTAAAGAAGCTATCCAAGACTTAATCGACAACAACAAGCTGCCATTGCCCCCTGCCAGTAAGAAGCCAAGTATTGATAAAGCGCCCCTCGCTCTTTCCTTGGCTATTTCTGATGAGGAAAACGAGGTTGACCCCTCGTCTCTCATCAAACTTGTTAAAGAAATCCATGCTATCGAAGAAGAGGAGGAGATCTTTTTTGACGCCATGGATAACCTTCCAGAACTAGCAAGTAAAGAGGACATACAATCGCTCACACTGTCTATGATGGAAAGATCGCACTTGTTACGTGAAATTGTCAAGGCTATAAAGGAACTTCAGAAGAAATATAACGAGGTTCCACTCCCGAAAAATGAACCTAAGAGAGAGTTCACACCCATGGGAACGACTTACGAGGCGAAACATTTTCCTTTACAAGTCACCGAAAAACCCAAGAAGAGTAATAGACTCTACACTCCAATAATTGGGATCCCATATATACAAATGTTCGAAATGCTCTCCGAGAGTGGCGAGATCAAACCTCTCGAACCGAGACCATTTGAATCATTGAAAAGGACATATAGATATTACTGTCAATATCATCAATCAGGAGGTCACACTATCGAAAACTGTTTTAAATTCAAGGATTTAATTCAGAAAATGATTGATGAAAAGAAGCTAGTCCAAGTTCCACAAGAAGAGGATGCAAGTATTAATGGAGTTTGGGACATTGATGAAGAAGATGTCTACTTAAAAGACATGGTAGGACCTCCACCTTCGGTGTCATATGCCATGGATGACTTTTGGGTTGAAGAAGATTCAAAAATAGACGTCCTCACAAGATCCGGGAGAATGCAACCTCCCGTTTCAACACAACCCATGCCAACCACACAGCAAGTTCCCATACCTATCATTGAAGATAATGACATCGTCAAACAATTCAAGAAAACAAAAGTTGAAATGAACGTATGGAAACTTCTGGCGACATCTCGAGAACATAGGTTGGTTGTAATGAATGCCTTGGACAAAATAGGGATAGATTTTGACACCACTCCTGAGGGGTTGGCTAACTTCCTCACGAGTGACCTACCTAGTCCTATCAATTTGATCACCTTTTCTGACAAGGATTTACCCCCAGAAGGTGACAAACACTATAAGGCATTAAATCTCACATTAGTTTGTAAGAGAATGAACGTCCCTATGACTCTTGTAGACAATGGATCAGCCGTTAACGTCTGTCCACTTAGAACTGCAAGGATGCTAGGATAAGGGATGAAGACTTAACCCCGTCAACACAAGGAATAAGAGCCTACGACAACACTCGTCGTCAAGCTCTCGGTAAAATTACCATGAATATAACGGCGGGAGCGATAGAACATGCTACTACTTTCCAAGTAGTAGTTACCAAAGCTTCATTCAATTTATTGTTGGGAATCCCTTGGCTTCATGACCTAAAGGTCGTCCCCTCATCTCTCTACCAACAAGTAAAAGCCATAGTTGGGGGAATTCCTATCACCATCGATGCTTCACCTATGAGAATCAAGTCTATAGAAAATCCAATAATTAACGTGGAGCACGATGAGGATGATAAAGACTTATGGGGCTTTAACGAAGAGGTTTCTTTGATCCAGGAGGATGTAAGGACCCCTCTCTGCCACGACCCCCATTCTAACATGATCGTGAATGCTATTCTAAAGAAACAAGGACATTTTCCTAGGACGACCCTAGGAAAGAAAAAGGGAATAGAAAAACCGCTGGAGTCACCTGGCCTCCCTAAATTAGATACTTTCGGACTTGGTTTCGAACCGACTTAGAAAGATCTTAAGCGAGCCCAAGAAAAATCAAAGGCACGTAGGAACGCTCGCATTCAAAAGAAAGCAATCCCAATGGATCAGTACCCTCTTACCCTTAATGGTCAATTCATAAAAGAAGGAGAGGACTATCCATGCCACGAATTTCCTGAACCATTTGTCGTAAACGGCATAAGGCAACCGGGATTTGAAAATTTCTTGGACTGCTATTTCACGGATGAAATCCTAACTCCTGTCCATAAGGAGAAAACACCCCCATGCTTTGACTTTAACGTCATGGGACTTTTTTTTGGGCGAGAAAAGGATGAGCCGACATACAAAGAGGATAACTCCTCGCTCATTCAAACAGTCCTACAAAGTGAAAACTTCGATCCCTCGAAGCTAATCACTCCAGCGGAAGGATCACTACAAGGGTGGCGCAAGACCGTCAAATTGACTACTCCAAGTAGAAGAAAGATATCCATCACGACAGGGCAAGGATCGATGTTCGAA